ATATATTCATACATGCATACTCTTATATATATATGTACAAATAAATCACCAAATCTTATTGCTACAATGCTGAGTTTAATGCCTTTGTCAAAGGTCAGAGTTGCAAAAGATCTGCCAAAGGTTACATCTGTCATCCACAGCAAGATGATGTGATATCTGCCCTGTCTGGGGACCTCTGAATGGTACACATGGTTTCCCCTGACTTAGTGATGGTGTATCATAGAAAAGCCGCAGTAAGAAGTAGGAAGAGGTATTATCATTTAGTTTCTGATGCTGAAGAGCAGCAAAAAATACCCATTTTAATTTGGTATGTAAGATCAATAATATGTTAAGCATAATACTATTGCACAAATAAATACTATCAGTGCCATAAGAAACAAAACACATTCTGCAACAAACAAAAGAAAACAAAACATTTTCAAAAAGTAACTTACATGATTCCTCTGTATTTTTCATTAATTAGTGATGTTGAAAGTAGTACAAATTTTGATGTTATAAATTGTTCAATAGATGATGAAGTTAAGAGTTAAGGGTTCTGTAGGCTGAGGCCATACAGTGCGTTTGGATATGCTGACGTGGAAGTGTTCTCTTGCATGTCTTACAGGGTGGAACATGTTTGAGTTGTGGGAAGGTCAATATTTACACATCCAATATTAGCTAAGCCCAGTGGTTCTCAAAATTATTTTGTTATGAGAATCATCTGGGGGTCTTTTAAATAATTTCAAAGACAGGCCACACCTCAGACCACTTAAATCACAATCTCTGTGGGTGGAACTCAGGCACTAGTATTTTTTGAAGCTGTCAGGTCATCCCAATGTTCAGGCAAGTTTGGGGACCAGTGCCTTAAAGAGAGTGAGAAAAGAAGAAACTGAAACAGAAAGAGACTTGTGATTTAGGGATTCAGTGTATTACAGAAAGCTTAAACATCAGGCTAGTTGTAAGACATCTTGTCTATTTTTTTTCCAAGAGGCTTTCTTGCTTTTTACTTTCTGAACACTTCTTCACCCTGCCCCAAGCTAAAAAACTTAAATAACAAACGTTTAAAAATAAGGCCTAAGAGTCTCATTATAGTCAATTTACTCCTCTTAAGACTGTCCAAATTCATACATTTCCAGACCAAATGAAACACACACCCCCTCATCCCCTGTACACCTGGTTCGCCTCTATTAGCTTACAGACTGATGATATCTGTTGGCTCTCTGAAGAAAATACCAGTTTTCGTTCTTCATGATTAGGTGTTGTGCATTAATAGCCATACACATCTTTAAGTTCAGAGGGCTCTTTGGGAGGTTGGAGGGGAGTGGAGAGAGACTGTGAATGAGCACAAGAGTGAACACTAGCTAGCTCACAGCTGGTTTACTGAATGTTTTTCTGCCACCTAATGGGCATTTTAGAATATGCTATGCAAAATTCATCTTTGTCAGTGCATGTCACACAGAGGGGTCTCAACAGTGAACAGCTTGGAACTCAACTTATTTACAAAAACCTTGGGAGAACTGCTAGCTTCACACCTAGATGTGGATGTTTTGTAAGTGATCTTCTTTTGGCTTCAGTTTAATTTTTTTTCTTTTTTTTGAGACACGGTCTTGCTTTTGCCCAGGCTGGAGTGCAGTGGTGCAACCTCAACCTCCCACAGGTATGTGCCACATGCCCAGCCTTTCTTTTTTTTTTTTTTTGGAGTTTTTGTAGAGATGAAGTCTTCCTATATTGCCCAGGCTGGTCTTGAACTTCTGGACTCGATCCTCCTGATTCAGCCTCCCAAAGTGCTGGGATTACAGGCATGAGCCACCGCACCCGGCTCAGTTTAATTCTTGGGAGCACTTCTACATTTTCTTTCTTAAAAACCCCAAATATAGATTATGAAGGATAGTTCCTAAGTATGTAATGTAATTAACAGGCCATATAATCTCTCTGACCTTTTAAATATTGTATTACTCCAGGGCTCAATGATTGGACTTCTTCTCTTTTCTATCTGCTTTCTTGATGATCTCCTTTGGCCCTATGGTTTTCAATACTATCCACACACAGATGATTATAACATTTATGTTCTCCAGGTCAGACTTTTTCCCTGAATCTCACAGATCCAACTACCTGCTTGACATCTCTTCTTAGTTATCTAATGGACATCTCAATCCTAATTTGTCTAAATCTTTGCTCACGCTGTCAGTGCAACTCTCCCTCCAATCCCCCAACATGCACATACTCACACATTTACCTCTACTCTTCTGGCAGCCTTCTCATCTCAATAAATGGCAACTTCCAGTTGATTAGGCCAACTACACTAAAGTTATTCTTGGCTCTTCTTTAATCACACCTCACATCAAATCTGCCAGGAAATTCTCTTGGATATTTCTGGAATCATACTTTTCATTACTCCACTGCCACCACCCCAGTCTATCATCTCTCACCCTTGCTATCGTCTCTCACCTAGTTATTGCAGCGGCCTCCTAATTGGCCCCCTCCAGTCTATGCTCGAAAAGGAGCCAGAATTGTTAAATCCTAAATGAGATCATGTCATTTATTTGCTTAAAACTCTCTAGTGGGTTCCCGTCTCACCTAGAATGAAAGCCAAAGTCCTCACAATGGCCTAAAAGGCTGTATATCTAACCCTTAAGAGTTTTCTGATGCCATCTTGTACTACTCTCCCTCCACTGACATCACTCGAACCACACGGGCCTTCTTACTGCAATTCCTTGACCACACAGGTCCGCCTTCTCTCTCTGCAGAGAGCTCTGTGCTGGCTGCTCTATTAGTCTTTCTTTCCTTAGACTGTTTCCTTGCTCATTTCCAGTCTTTAACTCAAATGGAGACTATGCTGAGTTCCGCTTTCAAGGCAACCTCCCATTGCCTTCACCACCACCTTCTGCATCTTACCTCCTGTTTCATTTTTTCTCCTTAGCACTTACCAACGCTGAACACTTCATATTCCACGTGTCTCTGTCTTCCCTCTCCTCCCTGTCCCGCTCCTTGGCAGAAGGGGAGGGTTTTACCTGTTAGGTTCACTGCTGTATCTTCTGCCCCTACAATGCCTTACACATAGCTGGAACTCAGTATTTGTTTAACAAATGAATCATACATGTAGTTAATGTTAATGGGTGGGAGGAGGTATATAACAGATTGGAAAAATAAGAGCAGACTTGTAACTGTCTTTCTTTCCTGCTTTAGAAATGACTATCTTCATTTAAGATTTTTCTGATTACATCTATCTACGAATCATTTCATTTTAATTAGCTCCTTCACTGAAACACAGCATTGTAATCTGTACCAAGAAAATAACACACTAGTTCTACATCTTGGCATTTAGTTTCAATAAGTAAATATACTATTTTAAGTATATAACACTTAAACATTTTTCTAGAGTTCTTGGCCATTTTCATTGATCTAGAAAATGTTTTCAAATGGACTATGTTAATGTTCAGCTGAGAACTGACGTTGCGTCATTACACTGGAGCTAATGAGCGTTGCTTGCCCAGAGCTGCCGGTCCCCCTTCCTGCTTCCACCTTTCCTTCTTCCTGAGGTGGTTGAAAGGTCAAACCCCTGGTGAGAGGAGAGCCAAAGCCCCACTGTGCGCCTCAGATGCCGTTTCACAGCACAGTATTCACTGACATTTCTCTAGGCCCCTTCGCCTGAGGGAACTGGCCTGCTCCAATCAGTGACTTGCAGTGTGTGTGTCAGGGGCAAGGGCAGAGTGAGGAAAAATGTGAAATAAGAAATCACTGCTGTTCCTTGAGAATTACAGAGCATCACCTGGCAGCATTTTTGTATCCTTATTTTCAGTATTAAACCACACACATGCACCCCACTGCCTGCATGCCTGTCCCATTGTAGTGTTTCCCAACATTTTTTACATCATGGCAGATAGAGAAAATTGTTTGGAATTCTGGAGGCGACCAGCCTGGGAGCTCCAGCCACCTTAAGTGCTGCCCAGCTAGCCACCCAGAAGGCCTCGAGACAAACCACTTGAGAAGCTCTGCATTAGAGAAGCAAATTCAAGTCTGACATCTCAGGGGAGTGCTCTGAAAGTGACTATATAAGCTTCTACCAACCTCAAGAAAATCACAGGTATTAGATACATTAAATTGCTGAAATGATAGCTCTGGCTTTTTGAATATGCACAAATATAGTTTTCTGTTTTATAATTTGTCAGCTCCCCTTCCAGATTAACTATTGTGATCCCTTTATTATTACAACAGTCTTAAATAAAAATTTAAATTTTAAACAAATTATTCAAATGTCAAATAAAATCTTTAGATACAAACTTATGGTAACCCAAAGTGACATTCCAAGTTTATTTTACACACATTAAGAGATAAGAAAGGCAGTATTTTCTAAAGCATGATTACTCTAATTCTAAAAGAATTCTGCATATGGTTTTATTTCTGCATGCATTTATACAACGCTAAAAGTGCTGCCTCAAGTTTGCAAGGAATAAAGTTTTCTACAGATTATTGTACAATGATAAACTCTTTAGCTTAGCATACCATAGTACAAATACTGCATCATGTTGGATTTTACTAAGCATGAGACATAAACAGGCCAATCAAAATCCTTTGAGGTTAAGAAGTGATAGGTACCAATAAACATAAGTAGAAACTGAACAAGTCAAGGAGTGTTGAATATTTAACGAACCCATGAAGCATAAAACAATTGATGCAAATATATCTGTCATTTTATTTTTTTTGAGGCAGGGCCTCTGTCGCCCAGGCTGGAGTGCAGTGGCATGACTATAGTTCACTGCACGTGCCACCACACTCAGCGAATTTTTTATTTTTTGCAGAGACAGGGTTTCACCACGTTGTCCAGGCTGGTCTCAACTCCTGGGCTCAAGCAATCCTCCTGCCCCAGCCTCCTGAAGTGCTGGCATTACAGGCGTGAGCCACCATGCCTAGTTATCTGTCATTTTAGAACATTACTGTGAAGAATAATTTTGCACTGTTTTAACTGTTACTGGCTTAGTAAGTATAAAAATATTTGTCGAAAATGAAAGATCTCAATGAAATTGTAAGTAAAATTACTTTTATTTTCATAAATAAAAAGATAACCCATTATACACTTTTAGCTGAAGTAACGTTAGTTGTCACTGCCAAGTATGAAATCCATGTAATAGTTAACAAATAGTTACATCTCTCTATAACCTTCATGCAACTTCTAGATATGTGATAATTTCCCAAAATTTCAAACATTTCAAAAAACATTATATATAATGGGATATTTTAGTCACAAAGTGTTACCTTTGCTGAGTCAACAAAATATTTATCTGCTCACGTCAAAGATGCCTACTGATGTAAAGTAATACTAGTATTGCTGTATTTTACAGAAGTACTAAGCATATTACATTTTCCATTTCAGATATGGTAGTATCATTCCCAAAATTGTCAATGTGAAAATTTAGTAAGTAGATTAATAAGCACAAGTACCTAAGAGAAACAGGTCCCACAGCCAGAGAGTAAAGAGCTGGCATCAAGTACTGTTTAAAGTTTTGTCAGTAAGTGGCACACAACAAACAGACAAGTGATTCTGTAATAAAGACAACATAAAATAGAGTGAGATGTAATGAAGTATTTTTTCCATAGATACTGAAATAAAATTAAATGCCTTATTACTCCACTTAATCCGGAAACTACAGCTTCAAATATTATTACTATGTTGCAAGCAGTATTTAGTATTTCTATATGTTAAGGAAAAAACCTCACTGAATTTATGTACCTTTTTTTAAGGAGTGTAAACTATGATATATGATTTAAGTAATCACTTATTTGAATGCTATATTGATTCAGATTGGCATAATTACTCATTTTTCATAATGAAATGCGTATTCCTATTTCAACACTTTATGCAGATTTTATTTATTTCTCGCAGGGCTGCTTTGTGGATTCAATAGCTTATCTATGTAGGTGTCCAGCACAGTATCTGGCACACAGTAAGCTTTTAGTGTATGCTACTTGTATTATTTATATTAAGTGAATCAATCTGTCACTTATAATAGAAAAATTATCTAATGACCCAGGAGAATAATCAAAAGATAAACCTACAGATGTGTGACTTCTGTTAAAGTATTATGCATCCACTATTTCCCAAATTACTAAACTAATTGTTTAAAATGTTACAATCTATTTTTAAGATCATATTGTATCTATATTTGCTCTCTGTTTTTGCTATGGCCTTTGGCCTAAACCAATACAATTCTGACAGGACATTATCAGAAAACCACATAAAAACAATGTACACTGAAATCAGGTAACAAAGGCATCTTACTACAACTTCTTTAATAAAGAAGTAGAGTTACCAGTGTAATTCAGGACAACCTACTCATTTAAGTTTAAAGTTTTTTCTTTACATCATGCAATATTTGACTTCAAAAAACATTTTCCATTCTGTCTTCTCTTATATATAAACATTAAGAGCTATTACAAAGTTCTGTCCTCTAAGTAAAAAACCCACTAGAAAAGATATTTGTAAAAATCATTGCAGGGTTACTGATACTGAATGAAGCACAGGGCTACTGGAACAGGGATAAGTTCTTGGATAAGGTCCCAACATACCTATAAAAACTGATTTTTTAGTAAATTATTGATTCTAACATATGTAAAGGATTTGGTGTGATAATTTTCTCATCTTTAAGTGACTTTTTATCCCCCACCAGAAAAGATAAATGACTGAGGATGTAAGTCTGTGCTCTGATTAACACAATGGAGAAATGGAGAAACTATCTCTGTTAAAAACTGATTCCTGTCATTATTCTGATATCAAGAGGAAGGAAAATAAATTTTTTTGTGTGTAGATAGAAAAACATATCTGAGGCCAGGCGCAGTGGCTCATGCCTGTAATCCCAGCACTTTGGGAGGCCTAGGCGGGCAGATCAGCTGAGGTCAGGAGTTCGAGACTAGCCTGGACAACATGGTGAAATCACGTCTCTACTAAAAATACAAAAATTATCTGGGTGTGGTGGTACGTGCCTGTAATCCCAGCTACTAGGGAGGCTGAGGCAGGAGAATCACTTCAATCCAGGAGGCGGAGGGTTGCAGTGAGCCAAGATCGTGCCCCTGCACTCCAGCCTGGGCAACAGAGGGAGACTCTGCCTCAAAAAAACAAAAAAAAAAAAAAGAAAAAAACATACCTGAAACCACATGATCTGGGCCTATATTGACCTGAAACTTATTACTATCCAGAGTTTAATAAAAAGACCCAACCCCCAAATATACCCTTTAGAGGCACAATAAAATCTTTCAAATGTTGTCCTGATTAAAAAGGAGAGGCTGAAAACAAAGCAAGAAACATCTCCACTGTATTAAAAATCAAGAACAAGTAAGCTGAAGGCAGATAACTCTCTGAATGTAATAGTTATTCTACAAGCTTCAGAGAAATCATTTTGAGAAATAAGAACTGAAATTCTGTGGTTTATCTTATCTCCTGTTAGAGAAATTCTAAGTGCAAACTGTATTTCAGGAGTATTTTAGGAGATGTAGCACCCAGTGTCCTTTTGAGGTTTGATATCTGGTTCTTTCACGGGTTTCACTTCTTCTTCTGGTTTGGGTTTAGTCTAGGGAGAAAAAAACCACAGTTTAAGTACATAAACTAAGATTGAGAAAACAAACACCAAATCTTTTCCACTTCAGACTTTTAAAAGATGCTATATTAAATTATATAACACGGATACTGACAAAACTATTTGCAGAAACTATAGACCAATTCATTTTAAGATATAATCAGAAAACAACATTTCAGTAGAGATGAAAACCTAGTTAGGTAGGCAAAAATCAAAATACTGGTACTCCTACTCCACGCTCTTTTCTAAGTGAACTATCTATACATGTAGAACCCTAAAGCTTAGACATAACTTATGACAGTAATAGGCTGTCTCTTAGGGCATTATTTTATAGCTGAACAGAATATAGTTATTTTAAGGAATAAATTTTAATATGGAAAGGAAATTATATAAATACAACTCAATCTCAAGAAAAGAGCAATGGCTGTAAAATAATTCCTGTTCATTTGTCACAGATCCCTAGTCTTTTGGTAGTTAGACCTCAAAATTTCCACTTAATTTACCATTTGATTTAGAACACCAAGATGTACTTAGATACCAATAAATAAAAGCATTCTTATTTTGCCCCTGGATTCACAGAATACTGAAATTAGGCCAAATCTTCAAACACTGCAATTTGCTAAAACAGAGTATTGCCACAGCAATACAAACATGGATGATCTTCTCTCCCACATTCTTCTTAAAGGAGGCACTGACAAGTTGTAAAGAGGCAAGATAATGTGTTGAAAAGAATGTCATTATGTAGAAAATCAGAAGACATTTAAGGCTTAGAGGTCTTATCTCTGAGAGTGTTCTACCACAGATTACACTAAGCACTACAACTAGCTAACTTAACATTTAGACAAAGATATGTATCTATTTAGAGAAAAATATCAAAATGCGAACTCTGAATTTTCCTTTAAACTTCTGTGAATGAGAGAGAAAAAAAAAATCTCATACACTGTCATCCTTGGGTCTTTTGGTGAGATCAAATGCAGCCAATGTTTCTGGTGTCCACTGAGCGCTTGTAGGAGGAAATTCGAAAGGTACAGGCTCTACGAGACCATAATTTGCTTTGAGTTCCAGCTGTGGGGCTTCTGTTGGAATTTTTTGAAAGTAACTGCAAAAAGTAATTTAAATAGCAATTCATTCGTTTGTTCATTATTTGAGTGCCTAGTATGTTCAAGGTCCTGTTTGGGACAATGACAATTTAATGATGGGTAAGAGGTTTTTCTGCCTCATGTAGGAAAGCGAAAAAGTCAAGAAATTTTGTCAATTACAATGCAATGCAATTGGAGCTACCATATATGTAGAGTGCCATGAGAATGCAGACAAGGGGAATTAACCCAGAATTAAGTTCAGTGACTTCCAAAGGAAGTGATTAAAGATGAACTAGGCATGTTTAAGGAAGTGAAAAGCTCAGTATGACTAGATGAAGAATATAAGCAGAAGAGTGTAAGGAGATAAAAGCAGGAATGAGATTGAGTCTACCCACCTACACAGATGGTGATCTACAGTTTGAACAGCACTGATTTAATAATGGAAAACCTCTTGAAAAAAAAAAAAACAAGAAAAACTGGAGAGAAAACTTATTTTCCTTCTTTATAGGTAGCTGAAACCAGAGTGAGATGAATATGCAAAGGAGGTTGAGAAGATATACTTAAAACATATGGAGGAAGAACAGCAGGGAAACAGAGTTCAGAGAAAATCAGGATACTGTGAGTGTCCTAATGAAGTGAACTCTATGTTAACAACTCATGTTTTAATTTTAAAGTCTGCTTTTATATATTATCCTCCTAAGTAGAATAAAAGGCCCTACACAATTGAACTTTATCACCAATTTAAAGAGAAAATTAATGTGAAATGTAAACACTATATATATTTGAGACAGTGCCTCACTCTTGCCCAGGCAGGAGTGCCATGACTCAATAATGGCTCAGTGCAGCCTTGACTTCCCAGCCTCAGATGATTCTCCCACCTCATCCTCCTGAGTAGCTTGGATTACAGATGTGTGCCACCATGCCCAGCTAATTTATTTGTATTTTCTGTAAAGACAGGTTTTGCCAAGTTGCCCAGGCTGGTCTCAAACTTCTGGGCTCAAGGGATTCACCCACCTTGGCCTCCCAGAGTGCTGGGATTACAGTTGTGAGCCACCACGCCTAGCCCATAAGTGCTATTCAGCATAAAACTTTTGGGAATAGAGACTAACAAAAATGGTATTACTAAAATATTAGTATTTTAATTATAAATCAATATCAATAATATTAATATTACCAAAATAACATTAAGCTGTACTCACATAAATCCATTTTCTCTCTGACATTTTTCTAAGGTGTTCTTCACAAGGTTTCCAAGTTTCCAAAAGAATAGATGTCCTGAAGGTTTGACTGTTGGTCCAGGTCCTTTGGTTTCTCCATATTCTTTACACAGTGCTTCTGCCTTTGCATACACTGCATGTGAAAGAGATATAAAGTCTTTTTTTTTTTTTTTTTTTTTGAGACGGAGTCTCACTCTGTCGCCCAGGCTGGAGTGCAGTGGCCGGATCTCAGCTCACTGCAAGCTCCGCCTCCCGGGTTCACGCCATTCTCCTGCCTCAGCCTCCCGAGTAGCTGGGACTACAGGCGCCCGCCACATCGCCCGGGTAGTTTTTTGTATTTTTTAGTAGAGACGGGGTTTCACCATGTTAGCCAGGATGGTCTCGATCTCCTGACCTCGTGATCCACCCGTCTCGGCCTCCCAAAGTGCTGGGATTACAGGCTTGAGCCACCGCGCCCGGCCAAGTCTTTTGATTATAATTAACATGGCCCATTTATCCCTATAAGGCTTTAAATTGGAGGTGGTAAGACATTTACCGCTCTTTACCTAATATAATAGCAATACCAATAATAATACTGTAAGTAGAAGGTGTGGATTTTCTACGGTTCTAGGTTTTTGAAACATTTTTTTCTTTTCTCCAATTACGTCACCCATTCCCATTTCCCTTTCATGAACTCAGCCAAAATCTCTTTAAGCACATATTCCCTTTTGTGATAAAGTCATTTGTTTTTTAAAGGGGAGTTAATATTCTGGCAGGAATACTCACATTTTTCTGCTTCTTGGAGAGACCTGATTGCTTCACCGCACTTATCACTAGCCAATAAGGTCTCACCATGGTAACAGTAAGCCTGATGAAATAAACAAATTTTTATTCATTCTCTCCCTTCAAGATGCTTTCCCCTATTATTGTTTTACGTATCTATCAGATAAATTAGTACCTTCACACACTGAAGTATCAATGCAATCCCTTACATTTCTTTACTTGAGTAAGCTCTTCTCCAACCTTTGTTCATAGAAAAGGTGGAAATATGTCAAGTCTTGAGCCAAAACAGCCTTCTAACCATGTACTGAACAAAAGTTATCTGCCGAAATCTGTATTTAAAATTAGGAAATAGTAGATAAAGGAGGAAACTGTGCTAATGCAGAGGAAGAAGGAGGCATAAGAAATATTATCTACTCAGACCTGAAAAAGGTTTCGATGATCTCTCATATGATACTCTAATTAACAAAACAATTAAGTTTGGTGGGTATAACAGACTGATATGTAACTTCCAAAATGATGTTTATTGATGGTTCTTCACTAAGCTAGGTGATATATTGTGTGGTATGCCTTAATATTAGAATTAGTAAATATGTTTCTCAATGCACAGAATGAAACAATTGAAAGAATTTCATCAAGTATGCTGAAAGTGGGTTTTGAATCAAACAATAATTCTATTGCTATAATCCACTTCTACAATCCTACATCATCTCTTTCCACCCACTTTAGTTCACAATGGTTGCACTGACTCTCAGTGAACATTTACTGAGAGTTAGCTGTCCATTATTTGTAAAATGCTAATGAGAGACTCTGGTGAGATGAGAGACCTGGCACTCCAAGGACTGGAGAAACAATAATTTACACTGTTTTTAGCATTATGAATACTTACATAAGCTGTGTAGAAACACATCTTCAAGTGAAGATATTTTCTCCATTTGGCAGAATATGCAGGCTCCAAACTGGATAAAGTATGATCTAAAGTTACATTTTAAAAAGCAAAATATAATTTCATCCTGATTCACTAGAAGACTTTTAGTTCATGTGTTCTGATGATAAAAGCAGAAAGAATGCCATTCGAGTCTAAAACTCAATAATTTAATTTTTTTTTAAAAAACACCTTTACTTGATTTTCCCAAATCTATACTTTCAGTTACACATGACTGATTAAATACTATAGCAGCTCTTTGATTTGATGGTTAACACAACTTTAAGTTAAAGATAATGATAAAAACAGATTGTGACCAAGAACTTCAAAGTGAATACTGTTTATACCGTTATATTAGCTAATTTAAAAAGCGTACATAATATAGCACAGCAAATAGTAGACTAGTCACTCAAGTCAGAAATAGGATACTCTCCTCTCCACCCCCATCACTGAATTTTATATAAAACACACACATATTCACTCACATATCCTTCTACCAAACATCTCTCAAATCTATTTTTTCCTATTTGCTACTTTGCTGTATTTGCCAAAGCTTTCATCATTTCCTTCATAAACTTGAAGAATTTCTTAAGTGCTAAGTTAAGTTAGCCTATTACTCCTTCATGGAGCAAGCCTATCTCTAATACTGCAACTATAGGGACCTTCCTTAAATTCAAATCCAATCAAGTCAGCCTTTTAGTATTCTAACAGATCCCAAGTGTCTACAGAATGAAAGGCCAAAGGCTTACAAACCAATGTTTGATTCCCAAGCAAGCATACTTTTTCAAACTTTTCTCCTACCACTCATCCTGTGTTTCAGGTAAGAGCAACTGTCTGAAGTTTCCAGAATGTGCTAAGTTCTTTCTTATGTCTGTACTTACTATAGAATTCTGCACCCAAACTCTAAAGCTTCCTAGGGAACATAAGATTTTTATTTACACTTCACAATAAGACTAAAGCATCTTCTTCTAGAGTCCTTCTCTAGCATGCCCAGCTTGTTAAGGTTCCTAATTCACTGCTGTGGTGTCTTACTTCAGGATTTAATAATGGAGTGACATGTTCTGCTTCCCTAAACTGCAAATCTTTTCTATTTACCTCTCCTTAGCAACAAAAACAGTAACTATCCCATAAATAAAAACACATGCATGTTTCCTAAATAGGTAAATGAAGAGTAATAGGCTTATCACAGTAGCTGTGTTCTATGCCCAATCTCCCACTTTCTAGCAGTTAAATTACGGGTCATGTTAACTCTCTGGATTTCAGATTCTTGTCTAAAGCATAGTAACTATAAGATTGTTATAAAGACCAAAAAAAATTTTTAAGCCAAAAAAGCTGTATAATTTTATTAGACATCACTGGTTTTCCCTTCCATTATAAGTTATGCAGCATACTAAATATGAACAGCTCTATTTTAAATGCGATAAAGTATTACTCCAGTTTTGCAAATAATGACAGAATCTGAGAAACCTTTTGTTTTGTTCCCTATTAATTCAAGATCAAATAAATCTGAAAAGCTAAAGACTAAAAAATGTAACAACAGAATTAGAAGCTTACCAGCTTTTTGATAGAAATTGGCTGTTTCATACGCCAGTGCAGCAATTAGTCCAGGAGCATGTTTTAGTTCAATTGCTCGAGCAATTGTTACTGTAACCAAACACAATAAAGTGAATCCATAATTAAGTTCACTCTATTCATCCTAAATTCAATTATAATAGCAAAAGACAGTCTGACAATCTCTCTGGGATTTTAATACAGTTTGTTAAACGTTTTAACATGCAAAGTTATAGAAAATGCAAACATTAACAAACAAAAAACACAGAGCTTGTTGGTTCTGATGCCATTTCTTTAAATAAATCATCAGTGAATTACTAGCTAATCACAGAGAATCACTACTACAAAACAGCATGACCTAACAGCAAATTCTTTTTTTCAAGACAGGGTCTTGCTGTCACCCAAGTTGGAGCACAGTGGCTTGATCATGGCTTACTGCAGCCTCAAACTCTTGGGCTCAAGTGATCCTTCTGCCTCAGTCTTCCAAGTGGCTGAGATTACAGGTGCATGCCATGGCACCTGGCTAATTTCTTTTTCTTTTTTTTTGAGATGGACTTTTACTCTTGTTGACCAGACTAGAGTGCAATGGCGTGATCTCGGCTCACTGCAACCTCCACCCCCCAGGTTCAAGCGATTCTCCTGCCTCAGCCTCCCGTGTAGCTGGGACTGCAGGCATACACCACCATGCCCAGCTAATTTTGTATTTTTTAGTAGAGACAGGGTTTCTCCATGTTGGTCAGGCTGGTCTCGAACTCCCAACCTCAGGTGATCCGCCTGCCTAGGCCACCCAAAACACTGAGATTACAGGCGTGAGCCACCACCACGCCCAGTCAACTGGCTAATTTTTTAAATAACTTTTTGTAGAGATGGAGGTCTTGCCATACTGCCCAGGCTGGTCTCAAACTCCTGGGCTCAAGCAATTCTCCTGCCTCGGCCTCCCAAACTGCTGGGATTACAGGCGTGAGCCACCAGCCCAGCCATCTTCAGAGGAACACTAGAGTTTGAAATAAAGAAAAACAAAAGCCTACAAAGTTTCTTAACTGTTTCACGCTGAGTGTCATTATTACTTGCCACTGAAAGGTGAAGACTTTAAGGTAAGCCAAAGAGTGAAAGAGAAAAAAGAATGAGCACAGGAGAGAGAGAAAAGACGAATTAAAGAATTAATGTTGTACTGTCAGAAATAACGTGAAATCAAAATCCTCTTAAAAAGAGCCATTAAACTGTAGGGCCTTTTCCTGCTAACTAAGAGTGAAGGCAAATGCTAAAGGTAAACTTATTCCTCATTCAAAAATTTCTCAAAATCTAAAACCTGATTCTAGTTAATTCTGATTTTTATTTATTAATTAATTTTTTTGAAACAGGGTCTCACACTGTTGCCCAGGGTGAAGTGCAGTGGCATGGTCTTGCCTTACTACAGCTTTGACCTCCCAGGCTCAAGCCATCCTTCCCATCTCAGCCTCATGGGAAGCTGGGACTACATGTATGTGCCACGATGCCCAGCTAATTTTTGTATTTTCTGTAGAGCTGGGGTTTTGCCACATTGCCCAGGCTGGTCTTGAACTCCTGGGCTCAAGTGATCTGCCCACCTTGACCTCCCAAAGTGCTGGGACTACATGCATAAGCCACAGTGCCCAACGTCTGATTTTTAAAGAGGAATTAAATGACAATATAGAATTTCATTTAAAAAAATCTTACAATATTTAGGATACCTTCTTGAGCTTCAGCCTGACATTGAATAACGTATGCTTCTATGAGTCGTGACTCTAAATCTCTTCCTTTTTCTGCAGGTGTAATGAGTTTTGGGGTATGACTTTCCTGAGAACAACGACAAAAAAGACAAAAAATAAAGCAGCCAGATTTCATTTTAATCCAGTTGTTAGAGATGAAGAAAATGAAAGTTATGAGACATTCAATTTGGATGCTTAGCAGAAATTCGGGGTATAAACAAAAACTATAAAAACTTAACAACAGTGAGCTTATAAAGAATAAAAGTTCCTGTGTACTAAAACAGCTTTTATAAGAACAAGAAATTCAAGAGCAAAATTTAAGTCATGATAAATTGCTGAGATACCCAAGTCACACTATCATCTTGAAAAACATGAACTGAAATAGTAACCAAAATTCCTTTTGCGGGATAGCCTGAAATGTTCATTCACATTAATAATTAAAGATATAAAGAGGCTGGGTGCAGTGGCTCATGCCTGTAATCTCAGCACTTTGGGAGGCTGAGGTGGGCGAATCACAAGGTCAGGAGTTTGAGACCAGCCTGGCCAACATGGTGAAATCCTGTCTCTACTAAAAAATACAAAAACTTAGCTAGGCGTGGTGGCGGGCACCTATAATCCCAGCTACTCGGGAGGCCGAGGCAAGAGAATTGCTTGAACCAGGAGGCAGAGATTGCATTGAACCAAGATCGCGTCACTGCAGTCCAGCCCGGGCAACAGTGTAAGACTCTGTCTCAAAGAGAAAAAAAAAAAACCACTACAATTCTACATCTAACTCAGGATCAGAGTTTTCTAATCACTATAAAAAGCATCTTATTTTAACATGAAAAAACTCAACACTGGCCTCTAGGAGGCCTTCAATAAAGTGATTTAATTAGAATGAACTGGGCAAAACACGATATTCTTTCTCCTAATTCCCATCACATCTCCCGGCAATTTAATATAATTAGAGTGCACTTGATTGTCCCTCTAATGTTTTTAGTGAAAATACAGAGAATACAATCAGAAGTTCAGTTTTGCAGAATCAGCACTAATCCTGGTAACTTCTGTGGAGAGTAATGAGGTACGTAAGAACCATCAATACTTCTGCTTTCTTTTCTCCTATGTTTTCAAGGACACAGAAAAATAAGCAAAGCACTAAAACTTTAGTTTTCTAATTATAAAAGTCACTGGTCAGGCGCCTGTAGTCCCAGCTACTCGGGAGGCTGAGGCAGGAGAATGGCGTAAACCCGGGAGGCGGAGCTTGCAGTGAGCTGAGATCCGGCCACTGCACTCCAGCCTGGGCGACAGAGCGAGACTCCGCCTCAAAAAAAAAAAAAAAAAATGGAGACATTTAATATTTAGTAACTGGCTGCACTCATCAGTAACATACTTAACATAAGGTAAACAGAACACATAGTACCTTTTTTAATATAATGAAACAATTCTTTCCCCATATCCCCCAAAAAGAAAAATTACTCAAGAACTAAAGCATTAAGAACAAATAATGGTTTTTGTTTGTTTGTTTTACCTTTAAATGTTTAAAAATCCCAGCTGCAATCTTTAGGCTTCGATGAACTTCTTTTGCTTCATCTTCTGTTATACTTAAAGATAGGGGTTACATTAGTTAGAGGATGAATTCCATTTCTGGTATTAAAACACAACAACCAATACATTATTATATATCCAAAGTAGTCATTTATGTTTCTCACTGCTAATTTTCTTCCTTTTAAAAAAATCTGATTTTGAGGCCAGGCAGGGTGGCTCACGCCTGTAATCCTAGCACTTTGGGATGCTGAGACAGGCAGACTGCTTGAGGCCAGAAGTTTGAGACCATTCTGGCCAACATGGCAAAACCCTGTCTCTACTAAAAATACCAAAATTAGCTGGGTATGGTGGCAGGCACCTATAATCCCAGCTACTTGGGAGGCTGAGGCACAAGAATCACTTGAACCCAGGAGGCGGCAGTTGCAGTGAGCCGAGATCGTGCCACTGCACTCCGGCCTGGTCTAGTGACAGAGCAACACTCCATCCACCCCCCACCAAAAAATTAATTTTGACACCTAGAAAAGGAATAAATACACATGAAATGTACATTTATAGAAAACTCGGAACAACTGTAAAGGATTTTGAATGCCAAGCCAATCAGTATTCCACAAAAAGGTCTTGAAAACAAGTATATGACATAAAGGTAACATTAAGATGGCAAAGTCTATCAATATGTCTCCAAAAAGAAGACACTACAAATGAAAAACAAGTATACAACATAAAGGTAACATTAAGATGGCAAAAGTCTATCAGTATGTCTCCAAAAAGAAAACACTACAAATGAAAAAAGAGAGACGCTAACTAGGGGTAAAATCTGCAGGCAGGCGTGGTGGATCATGCCTGTAATCCCAGTACTTTGGGAAGCCAAGGCAGGAGAATCACCTGAAGCCAGGAGTTTGAGACCAGCCCAGGAAACATAGTGAGACCTAACCTCTACAAAAAAACAAAACAAAATAAAATGCGGACAAAGCCTTCTTATTTTTCCTTACAGACATTTGTACATAATTTTTAAGACAAAATATTACATACTTAATGCATATATATGCTTAAGAAACACATAGATATACAATGGTAGCTATAATCATTACTCTGCTCTTATTTTAATCACCTACTTTACTTTAAGAGATAATTTTACAACAGCACATACAATTTGACATCATTTTCAAGTGGTTGCATATTGTTTCCACGTATGGATGAACCATAAATTGAGTTTCCTATTGCTGTATCAACTATTGCTATTATAAAAATTGTATCACCTTTTATAATTCTTTAATCCTTCAAAACATCTTTTCACATACTATTAGCCTTCTGTGTTTGTTTTCTGTGAATTGCCTGTTCATGTCCTTTGCTTTTCAATTGATTTGATGGTCTTTCCTTTGCTGATTTATAAGAGTATGCGTTATAAAAACAATGTATCATATGAATTGCAATGTTTTTGACCAATCTTGACATTTGTTTTTTAACTTTGTTTATGGTCCTTTGATGTAGTTAAATAGTCATGCTTTTACTTTATGGTTTCTAGATTTGGGGTCTTACTTAGCAAGACCTTCCATATGACAAGACTATTAAAATTTATTTTACCTCTTAACACTAGGTGCCATAATTCTGACACTCAAAATACTAACATTACAAGGCAATCCTTCACATGTCCAAAGTGGTACTTTTTAAAATAGATTTTTAAAATAATGAAGCACCATATACTTGAAAAATAACACAGATGTACACAATTCTCTCCTTTTAACTTACTTTTCTTTTCCAGCCAGTCTTGAAGCATATTTGGTATACCATAAAGCTACATTAAATCCCATGGAAATTAATTCAAAAACAGCATCCTGCTGGGCACTGGAATTATAAACACGGATCATTAGGTTCTGTCAATTATCAAGACATCACACCATGAAGCCTATTGGACAAACGACTCAAAAGTACAAAGAAGTATATGCTAACTGGTATGTATGAGGAAAATGGCTGTGTTTCATACAGATGGGGAGATAAGACATACAGGTAATTAACTACAAATGCCTAAGTATAATGGTCCAGAAGGTACTATATACTTAATAATAAGCATGGGAATAGGAGTTCCCAAAGTTTACTGTACATAGAGTAGCTTTTTAAAATACAGATTTCTGGGCCTTATCAGAAAGCCTGAGATGGGGCTTAGAATCTGTATTTTTAACAAGTACTCAGTCGATTCTCAAAGGTGTGGCTCTTATACAACATTTTAGAAAAATCAAATTCAGAAGATTGTTTCAGGCTAGAATAATTAAGAAGGTTTAATGGTATATATAAAATCTGAACTGTCCTTGGAAAGACGACTAGAAGGGAAGCAAAAGGACATCCCAGCTAAGGAAACAATGCCATCAACGCACAAGAGGAGTATAAAAATTTTTCAGATAGAAGTGACCCAATGAGCTTGATTGAAACAGATGGTATGTAAACAAGAAATGAAGGAAAAGAAGGGCAAAAAGAAAGCTGAAGGCAAACTGTGTAAGATTCTGAATGCTTAGCCAATCAGTATTCCAGAAAAAGGTCCTGAACACAAGTATATTTTATACCTTGTTTGTTTGCTTCAGATTCTAAGTATGAAATAAAGATGGCAAAAGCATATCAAGCAAATAAGATATTCATAACAATATATATTCACTACTGTTCTTAGAAGAACCTGAAAATTTTTTACACATGATCTCATTTATCTCAACTGATGAAGAAAGCAGAATATTCTTATTTTACACATGTAATACTAAGATACAGAAAAGCTGCCCAAAAAGAAGAAGAAACCAGAATTATCGCTCTAGTTTTTATTTTTTAGTTACTTGTTGCCCCTGTCTTAAGAGAAATGGAGATATGGCAACTTTTTAAATGAAAAAAAAAAAAAAAGTGTTATATGTAGTAACTAAAATATAACGTCTAAACTATCGTTTAGTATAGATTATAACATCCAAAAATGACAGTTATGAACAAACTTCTCAAAACAGTTTTATCCTCCTGAAAAAAATTTAACACATAGTGTAATAGTTTATTCTTTTCTGCATGGAAACTATTAAATGAATTACATCTGGAGATCTAGTGGACATGTCTAATTTATAACTTTACCTTTAAATAATATAACGGTTTGGCTAATTTATGTGAAGTCTCATAAATAACTCTCTTCCTTTACAATCCTTCATTTATGTCAACATGCCTTGTTTCCAAACATTCCATTTCTATGACACCACATAAAAATAGTAGTCATAGCATCTATAATGGAAAAAATATTTTTCAGAACAGATAAACTCACAACATGATTTCTACTGAGTAAGTAGCAATCAAGAATAAAGTAATTTAGAAGTCTCACTTGTGCAGAATATTTAGTATTAAAGTCTTCATCACATAATTCTTCACGATCTCATAACGCTGCTGAAAAAAGGTTAAATAGTAGTTCACTTTTTTCTTTCTTTCTTTCTTTCTTTTTTTTTGAGATGGACTCTCACTGTGTTGCCCAGGCTGGAGTGCAGGGGCAGTGGCGTCATCTCAGCTCACTGCAACCTTGGCCTCCTGGGTTCAAGCGATTCTCCCGTCTCAACCTCCCAAGTAGCTGGGATTATAGGCACCTTCTACCATGCACAGCTAGTTTTTGTATTTTTTAGTAGATACGGTGTTTTACCACGTTGGCCAGGTTGGTCTTGAACTCCTGAACTCAAGTGATCTGCCTGCCACGGCCTCCCAAAGTGTTGGGATTATAGGCATGAGCCACTGTACTCGACTTTAGCTCACTACTACACGGAAGCAAAATGTGGCATGCTTGGAAAAGCGCCAAATTCATGAAATGCACACATTATAGAATCTGTCAGAATAATGACAGAGGTTTGATTCTTTAAAAAAGTCTTAATTCAAAAAAATTCCTTAATTTTGGATTAAAAACAAATGGGTCACATTAAAAAACAGAAAACAAGGTCTTAGAAAATCTGAGTATCCCAGAATATTATGAATTCTACATAAAATATTCCCAAGGAAGGAAGAAAGGAAATGAACATTTAATGAATGTCTTATTTAATGAATGTCTTATAAGCCTAGTACTGTTATCAGTCACTTAACAAAAATTTTCTTATTTTGCTTCTCACAAAATACTTTATCTGTAGCCCCAAGATACAGTTGAAGAAGCAGATGTTCATGCAGTAGAAAACCTGGACTTGCATCTAACTATGTACAAACCCAGTGTTCATACTCTTTCCACCGTAATGTATAGCCTGCTCTGGTCTTTCATCAACCTCCACTCCTTCCTTTCTGTTTTTATAAAATAGTAATTCTAAAGCAAATTGAGATTAAAATATATGGGCATTTAAACAACAAAATGGTGTTGAAAAACAGTAGGTAAGTAAAAAATTAACATCTTTATGATCTATTTCCTGTTATAATTAAACCTATTAGAAATAGTTTCAAGTGAGTGATAAGCTCTGAAGAGAAGTTTTTAAAAAGAGTAGAAATAGGGAAGAGAGATAAGGAAGAAAACACATCCTGTGAATCAAGAGTATAGAGTTGGAGAGAAAGAATGAGACAGAGAAAGACTAATGGAAGACACATGACGTATCCATCAGCAAAAGAAAAGTAAGGGAAAAACTTAAATTCTGCTCAGCTTGAATGTAGGCACATACAGTTTGGGTTCCAAATCCTCAAATCATCGTTTGTGTGTTATTAAAGGTCAAGGCTGTTCAACTATAGTTGACATTTGTATTGATTACCTCAAAAATAGATTTGTTTGGGAGAAACAAATTATATTTTTACTTACTATGTACTAGGATTGAGCTCAAATTCTTTTAATTAATTTCCTGGTAAGAGAAAATGCAGACCTGTATTTTTCTTCTCCAAATACAGAGACTATGAGTTAACCACTGGCTACACAGTTACAAAAACTGGCTCCAATTTAGTACTACCTTAGTGTTGCTTACCTTGGAACCTGTCCTTGTAACGTATCAGTCCACTTGAAATTTTGAATATATCGTAACTTGCTTTCTTGGGTAGATTCATCCAAAGAATTTATGAAACCTACAGAAAGTATAAGACATTTTAGTTTTAGAAGAAATATTGAGTGTTCTGTTTGGAAAAATTTTCAGATTACTTTTCCAGGTGTCTGAATGAAACTTCTTGCCCTTTTCCAAAGAATATAGTCTGGAAGAGTAAACTAATCAAATTTGAAAAGTCAAAGAATTAAATGTAAACTTCTAGACAGTTTTTTAAAAAACCTCAAGTTCATATGAATAACTAACCTTGTAAAAGTGAAAAATATGAATCTGCTGCGTTCTTCATCATTTCTGGATTACAGCTCAAATCAGTGAACAGTTCAAGGAGTCGTGCCCTGGATGACCTCAAGTCACTTATAAGAGAGAGAAAAAGACAGTAAAGTTAGCTGTACTGCAATCAATCTCACATAAAAGTGGTTTCCAGGTTTCAGTGTAAAAGCTTTAAAACACACACACACACACACCCCCCCCAACCAGGTTTCAACGTAAAAGCTTTAAAACACACACATGCATGCACATGCCCACCTCCTCTAAGGGATTACCAAATACACAGAAATGAATTTAATTAGAACTAAATCTAGAGAAAAAATTTCTAATAACTGTTTTAAAAGTTGTACGAAAATAAACTCAGACCAATTAAAGAGGCAAATACTAAATTCAATTACATAATAAAAATGTATAGCAAGTTTTCATTAAAAAACAAACAAATGCATGCATTTAAGATGTGGGGAAAGAAGAATGAATAAAAAACTAAGCAGTTCACAATAAGTTTCCTGAAAAATGAAAATTTATCTGTATATCATTTTAATATCTCCTTAAAGTTTCTAAATCTGACATAAAACACAAAAATGTGAAAATACACTGCATAAAAATATTTAAAAAATAAAATTACATTATATATAATTACATATTCTTGACGTATAATTCAATATATACATCAAGAATATGCAAAACATGTGGCCATTAGTTGTTTTAAAACTGCTCCCTAATCTATATTCTCCTTTACTTCTCTACAGCAATAAATGTTGTAGATCCACTTTTTCCTTCTTGAAATTATTTCTCCTTTGATTCCAATAACACCAAATTTTCCAGGTGCTCCCCTTATCATTTTAAAGTTCCTTTTATATTTTTTTCTGTGTCTCCTTTTCATTCCCAACTCCAGAAATGTTCAGTCTTTGGCTTTCTGGTTTTCTCTCTTTTGAGATCTCATTGATTAGTACAGCTTCAACTATATCAATTTCTAGCTCTCCATCGTTAGCTTTCACTTGGTTCTATTTCAGTTCCAAATCCAATTCAGAAGGCAATTAGCTTAGTGAGGCTTCCGAAATTACAATACATGGATATGACCAAAGACCCTTGAAATATGTGTAAACCATTAAAGAAAGACTAAATTTAAATGGTAAGCATCAACAGAGTAGAGGCTGTATATCCAGAATTGGGTAGGTGCCTAGGATAAAGCACATATTCAAAATTACTTGTTGAGTGGAAGAATACTAACTTTTCAAATATTTTCTTTTGAGATTTAGATTAAGGTAGCAGTGATGTTTAGAAGAGAGCACAGACTTAACCCTGAATGGTCTAGATGTAGTACTTATTCATTGGTACTAACTCTAAGGAGGCTTATTCCAAGAAGTGTATGTATGTATTGCCAATTACAAACAGCTGACTGAAAATGTGACTGGCTATCTTATGAATTAATCATTGTTTGAGGTATATCTCTAGAAGCTGGAAAGTGATTCAATTCCTGGACTAGGCAGAAATTTGAATCCTTAAAGCCTATTCTGCACTCAAATAGTTTGCTAGCATTTCCATATTGATGCTTGATCATCACCTACAGCTCAACTTGTAAAGTTCTATTCATCTTAAATTACAGAATTTGAGAAAAATGTACCTCAGATATATTTAATTGAGGCTGTTCATTTTATAGATTAGGAATTAGGCCCAAAGAAGTTAAGGGACTTGCCCAATGGTACAGATAAAACAGCTAAGCTGGGACTTGCCTCCAGGAGTCTAGATCAGAGGTTGACAAACTACAAACTGTAACCAGTTTTTGTATACTCCACAGCTTATTTTTGTTCAGTCCTCAAATTAAGAATGGTTTTCACATTTTTAAAAGGCTTGTAAAAATGAACAAAGAATAATATGCAATAGTGACTGCATGTGGACCACAAGGCCTAAAATAAATACTATGCAGCTTTCAAAAAAAGTTTGAGGACTATTGGTTTAGATTAATAAGCCGATTATCCTATCTTTTGTTGTAATCACTTCTTCCCATAAAAGCGGCAAGTCTTCAGATTTTCCTTTATTGGTACCACCAATGTCTTAATCATTTAGGTTCTGTATCTCATACAGACTGAATCCTTTTCAGCCTCCCAAGGCAAATTAGTCAATCAGGTCCATTGACTCCTCCTTCAACACATCTTTTGCATTTATCGCTTTCATTTCAGCCAAACTGCTCTACTCACTATCACTAGCAGAAAGGTATTCCTGACAGAAATAACCTTCTCCTTTCCCTTCTGACAATCTAAATCAAGAATACCCAAATATTTTTTTGGAAAGCACCAAATAGTAAACATTTCAGGCTTTTCTGGTAATAAGGTATCCATTGGAACTATTAAATTCTGGTGTTGTAGAGGAAAACAGCCAGAGGCAACCATACACAGTATATCAATAAATGTGGGGCTGGTTGTGTTCCAATAAAAACAAGCAATGATCCAAATCCATAGGACAGTTTGTCAACTCTTGATCTAAGCCATACAATTCATTTAAGGCCTATCACAAGTACTTTTTCCTATGTGAACACTTTGAAGGCATTTCAGGTCATAGGGATCTCTCCCTACACTGAAGTCAAGAAGTTTAATATGTGGCCAATTTAAAATGTCCCTATACAGCTGGGCATGGTGGCTCACGCCTGTAATCCCAGAACTTTGGGAGGCCGAGGCGGGTGGATCACTTGAGGTCAGGAGTTTGAGATCAGACTGGCCAACATGGTGAAAACCCGTCTCTACTAAAAGTAGAAAAATTAGCAGGGCGTGGTGGCGGGTGCCTCTAATCCCAGCTACTTGGGAGGCTAAGGCAGGAGAATTGCTTGAATTGCTTGAACCTCTGCCAGGAGGCAGATGTTGCAGTGAGCCAAGATTAAGCCATTGCACTCCAGCCTGGATGAAAAGAGTGAAACTCCATCTCAAAAAATAAAAACAAAAATAAAAAATAAAAATTTTCAAACACTACTTTGTGTAGTCTCTTGTACTCTTGTAATACACAGATTAACTGTTTTACTATGATTGCTTTAGCCTCTCTGGGACTCATTTACTGATCTAAAATTAAGGATCCAGGGCTAGAAGACTACCAAAGTTTAAATAATCTATGATTTAATTGTTTACATGTCATTTATAAATTTATAACAAACTCAAAGTTAGAAACAGTGTGTTACGTATTTTTGTATTGCCCATGGAACCAAAAAAAGTACCTTGCATCTAAGAGTGGTTTAATCAATAAACTTACTTGCATATTTTTGAAGCAGAAGGGCCAGTGACTACACCATAGTAATTAAAAGACACAGGAGCTGTGGCTTTTAATGGGTTCCTATGAAACCAATGGGTCATTTTCTCCAGATGTTTTCTACAGACAAAAAAGTAAAAAATGTACAAAAATTAAATATAAAATATTTAATAAACAAGGTAAATAGTATAAAAATTTATTTCAATAGTATAAAAATCTAATTCAAAAATTAGCCTGGCTAATTTTGTATTTTTAGTAGAGACGGGGTTTCACCATATTGGCCAGACTGGAATGAAACTCTTGACCTCAAGTGATCCACCCGCCTCGGCCTCCCAATGTGCTGGGATTACAGGCGTGAGCCACCGCACCCGGCCTCAGATATGTTTTGTCTATTTATGATGGTCTATGTTCAAACCAGGCCTATAAAAAAAAGAACAGCATTTGAAAATCTGCCCACAATAACTTCAATCTTAACATACCTATATAGGAGCAGTAATGTTTAAACTCTAACATACATAAAAATCACCTGGGGGTGGGTGGTTTTGTCAAATGCAGGCTCTAAGTCATTAGCCTGGGGCAGGACCTGAGATGCTGATGCTGCTGGTCCCCACACACTTCTGAATAGCAAAGTACTAGATTTTGGTTGGACAACTGCAAGTAAAAAGGGCACAGGACCAGATGAATGTAATTTCCAAAACGGGTTCAAATGGTAACCCTGATTATATTGCTAAGGCTACTTGTAATAAGTTTCAAGTTAATTGCTGTATTTCCGACATATTGCTGACAACAGTGGATTGGTTATAACATGTGTTCTACAATAAAATGTACTTTCCAAAAAATATCTAAAGAATATTCTTAAAAGAAAAATGTAATACAATACTTGACCAATAAATTCTATTATAAAATGGAAACACTGGGCTGGGTGTGGTGGCTCATGCCTGTAATCTCAGCACTTTGGAAGGCCGATGTGGCTGGATCGCTTGAGCTCAGGAATTTGGGACCAGCCTGGGCAACTTGTTGAGACCCCGTCTCTACAAAAATCAGCCGGGCATCGTAGCCACGCCTGTGGTTCCAGCTACTGGGGAGACTGAGGGGGGAGGATCCCTTGAGTCCAGGAGATGTAGGCTGCAGTGAGCCCTGATCTCCCCATGGCACTCTAGCCTGGGCGACAGGGCAAGATCCTGTCTCAAAAAAGGAAAAATTAAAAAAAAAAAACTACCTAAGTGAGATGCCAACTTAAAAAAAAAATTGAAGTTCCATACCCTCTACTTAAAAAATAAATGAGCGGTGGCTCACGCCTGTAATCCCAGCACTTAGGGAGGCCGAGGCAGGAGGATCACACAAGGTCGGAGATCGAGGCCATCCTGGCTAACACGGTGCAACCCCATCTCTACTAAGAGCACAAAAAAAATTTGCCGGGCGTGGTGGCAGGCGCCTGTAGTACCAGCTACTCAGGAGGCTGAGGCAGGAGAATGGCGTGAACCCAGGAGGCGGAGCTTGCAGTGAGCCGAGATCGCGCCACTGCACTCCAGCCTGGGCGACAGAGCAAGACTCCACCCCAAAAAAAAAAAAAAAAAAGAAAAAAACAAAAAAGCAGCTTGTCTTGTCTAAATGTCCTCGAGTAGGTAGAGCAGCAGATTTTACCGAGAAAGCCAAGGCGAAGACCTAAACATGGCAATCAGCTTCCAGGAAGCAACAAAGAAATTCTGGTTAGGTTTACTTAATTTGAAGGCACTGTACAAGCCTGACAATCGACTTTTCCTATTATTAGAAAATAATGTTGGCTGCACAGTGTACGAAATGCCTACATTAAGTGCTTCCTTTATGCTATTTATTTATTCATGATAAAGCCTGTTTTGAGGAGCACCACATATTTAACGAATAGAGAACGCAGTGTGTACCCAAGGAAAAACTGAGCAGGTTTATTTAGGACTCGAAACATTTAACGAGCTATTTCAGAAAATACCATCATCTACACATCTTCCATATAAATTCCGATAGCCTAATACAGCATCTACGTGCCTACAAATAAACTTAGAGCTAGTATCACACTCAGCACTTGATGCTGCGAAATCTTCCACAAATACTTCTTTTAATGCGGCCTCCTACTTTCTGGATGAAAATGTCTGAAGTTTTGCATATCTTTACTTCAGGAAAGAAGAGGGTAAGTTTCTGCCCCATCTTCTCCCCTTCTGCGACCCGGCGCTCTTCAGTTTTCGGGAGTTCCTAGGGTGGGATAGAAGAAGGACACACCCACCCGCAGGGACAAGGGTGACTTTAGAGCCACCAATACAACATTCGGATCGAAGCTGTAAGCTAACACACTTCCACAAGAGGACTCCCGTTCCTGACAAGGTATCCCCACTCCAGAGGCCCCGAGTCCCCGGAGTAACCTACCTGAGCGCCGCCCCCGAGCTCTGAGGGCCCACTTCCTGTTTACCACCCAGCCTCTTCCTCCCCTGCCCAGTCCCGTTCGAGGCGGCGGGCGGCGACCGTGCGCACGCGCCAACACTTGAGTTCCCCTCTTTCCAAACAGGCATTTTTGTGGAAAGCCGATACTGTCAACGCGGGAGAGGTGGCCAGACAACGGCCGAACGAACCCCAGTTTAGCTTGTATTATAAGCTCTCCAAAGACCGATGGAGATGCGGGGCAAGGGGATTCAGCGGCTCTAGCTGTTAATGCTACTGATTTGTGGGAACCAATATGGATTTTCTTTCTGTCGTTTGTTTCAAGGCATTAGAAGGAGACTCGGTCCGCTGTCCAGGGGGTCTATGGAGACTAATGTAAAAGGGGGTGACCCTATTGCTTGAGACTCCGGAGAAACAGCGGGGGGTATTACTGAGAAACACCCATCCTCTGACATACTTACCAAATTTCTCAGAGTCGGTACAGCAGTTCTTCTAAGGGAAGAATGGCAATATCGGAGTCCACAAGCGAGGAAAAAGAGGGAGTCGGAGAACCGAGCCTACAAAACCAAAGTGACGAAAAGCGAGGCCGGCGCCAAGTCGGAGTCACGTGGCCCAGAGGCCATGACAGCTACCGAGGCGGTAGTGCGCGCAGTTCCAGGGCGGGGATTGCCGCGGCGTCACAGTCCCCTCAAAACGCTCCGTTCATCAGCTCTTTCTAACTTCTCTTCCCTCGGTTTTCCTTTTGAGCTATGGTCTTTATCCCAGACAGGAAGAGAAGAGTTGCCCCTGCCTGCGGAGCGGAGGGAGGATGCCGCAATAGCTATGGCGGCCCTCGGCTCAGTGGGGCGGCCTCAACCTAACGCGGGGCGGGGCCGGGGGCGGGGTCTCGGCGGGGCGGTCGCTTTTGGAGCCGCAAAGTTTGGCTGTGGCGGCAAATGGGCTTGGGCGGCTCCTCGGCGGGTGGCGGTGGTGGCCGTAGCGGTTCCTCCTGGCCCTGTTAATGTCGGGGCCAGGCCCGGGGAGGATGGCGCCCTAGAACCCGGCCTTGCTGGGGTAGGGGCGGGAGGGGACGGGGTGGGGACCGGCCATGTCGGAGGTGACCCGGAGTCTGCTGCAGCGCTGGGGCGCCAGTTTTAGGAGAGGCGCCGACTTCGACTCTTGGGGCCAGCTGGTGGAGGCGATAGACGAGTATCAGATGTGAGTGACTAACCGCGGGAGCGGGCCAGACCGGCTCCAGTCGTGCGCCTCTCCCTTGTTTCTGTCGGTGTCTCTCATCACTGTATCTGCCAGCCAAGGCTTCTCAGGGTGGGGCCCCGCAGGCACTGAGGCTGAGATCCCTCGCCACCAGCCCCAGCGAGGCTGCTCTGGGGACAAGGGCTCCGCTCTCTGGGGTGACTCGCCTTCTTCCCCCTCCGCCTCCGCAGGGACAGTTCCATTCAACAGGTAGCCCTTCTTTCTTGGGGCGCCGGCCCTAGTAGGCTATCTACTTAGTTCCTTTCCACGGTCTCACGGGTCCACCACTTGGCAGTCAGTTTCCTTTCCTCCTCCTCTCCCAGGTTGCCCTTCCTCGATTTCCCTTTGAAATTCTCTGAGGAATACTTGTGTGTTCTCCGCCCACGTTCCAAGAATGAGTGGCCTTGCTCTGTGTGTGTCTTCCTCCTTCCATGTGTAGGAAAGGAGGGAACTGGTTGCGATTGAGGGGAGGGGGTTCCCCAGGAAGCAGCGAGGGCCAGGGATACCTCTTCTGCCAAAAGAAGGGTCTCCTCTCGCGCTCCTTCTCCACCCCTCTTTCTGGTGAGCCGTGTTTTCAGAATTCCACCTCGATTTCGTTTCGGTTTCTGGGGCTGTTATTTGGTAGGCTCTGAGTCCCACCCACCCCCTCGCTCGGTTGCCTTGGGTGGAGTCCGCGCAGGATGTGAACAGAAGAGAGCAAAATGTGAATTAATGGACCACGCACTGGAGCACCACTCCCTCCTTGGATCCCTCCTCCTTTTCCTGTATATAATGTATAGCCGCAGGGTACAAGTGAGTACCAGTTTCCTTGAGCAACCTAAGACCAATTTCTTGCCCTTTCTGGTTTCCGCAGAAAACTTCAGGGATGTCTTAAAAAATAAAAGACAAGATTTATATACACATAAAACCTTGCTTAGGTTTTTGCACATTTTTCTGAACTTAAGAACTGTCTGCCAAAATGCTATTGTTTGCAAACTCGCCATTAATTATTCTTTGTTTAAAGCAAGTTATTGTTTGAGATTTCACTGAGTATTAAACCATGTATGAGTAGAATAACCCGGCCTTCCCCACCACCCCCTCTCCGCCCCTGACACACAATAATTTCTGGAAAGAATAAACGCTTCGTCCTTGGAAGATCTAAACTCTTAGCCTGTCCCCACAATAGTTGTTTTTATCTATTAAGATAATTTAAATCTGTAGGTACTGACTTTGAATTGCCTGTAGTTTCAAAAAGCTCCGACAAAAACCCGTGCCCTGGGCCATTTTGTGATGTGTAACAACTAGTAGCATTTGTTTTGCACTTTCACATGATTTCATTTGCTCTTGCAATAACCCAGTGAGAATATAATTATTCTCATTTTACGAAATGAGGAAAACTGAAGCTCAGGTTAAACAGATTACTCAGGTCACAAGCTGATACCACTGAAATCTGGGATTTAAAGAAGAAAATCCAAATCCTATTTCTACTACAGAGCGCTTAAGATGCACTGAGAGTAATTCTGTAAGTGAATTAGACAAATTACAAGATTTTCTTTATTACCGGAGAACACACCCTTCCATACTGCAGCCAATTAGACAGTAAGCACCTATGTATACCCATTCTGTATATTAACTAATATTGCATAGCTTGAAATAGAAAGCCATATCTTACTTGTGATGTGAGACCTAGCAGCTGTTGACACTGGGCGGCTGACTTCACAATGGAAAGTGAAGAATACCATGTCCAATTGAAATTACAAAGGAAAATTGAAAATGCAAGCTGTTTAGTGTGAATTTCTAGGAACATGAAGGTGAGGGTGATAGGCACGTGCAAATCCATTGTTGGACCTCGGTACTAACCACTGAACTTCCTGATTCTAGCAGTCCTCAAATTATAAAACCTGCCAGGGTCAAATTTCAATGAAGACATGTAATGATTGGCTTAATTCTGTAAACATGTAGGCTACATATAAAATGAGGTCAAGAGTTTAAAATTACTTAATATATCCAGAAATGAATGCAAATTATCTTTCTCATTTGAAATACCTGGGAGGAAAGGCTGCAGCAAAAGATATGAATTGAGGGCCACTGTAATGATGTAAACAAGAATTGACAGGATTTAGTTATTGACTGGATATCGAGGGTGTAGAAGGAGGAAGAGTCTAGGATAATTGGGATTTCTAATTGGGTAGGCAGCAGTCTTTTTATAGCCATACAACATACAGGAGCTGCTTTATGGGAGGGATGTAGGGGGAGAGATAGTACATATCTGTATTATCATACTATCTCAGATAGTATGATAGTACATATCTGTATTACTACTACAGTAGTAATACTGTAGCTTAAACAATTTCATTACTCAACAAGTAAGGGTTG